TCTGTGGGCATGAGTGATTTCTTGGAACATTGAATGATTTCTAGACCAGAAATCAATTTTTGGTCCCAGAAATCGATTTCCGAGACCAGAAATCAATTTCTGGATCTTCTGGTTTTTGCTCCCAGAAATCTATTTCTGGGACCCAAAATCAATTTCTGGGATCGGAAATCGATATTTAGCATTTCTGGACTCAAAAATCGATTTCTAGGACCAGAAGTCAGCAGATCCAAAAATTGATTTCTGGACCCAGAAATCGATTTCTGACTTTCTGGTCCCAGAAATGTCATTTCTGGTCCCAGAAATCTGTTTTGAATCCCCAACATGGTTTATGAGATCCCAAAAATCTCATAGGAGGAAATTTTTGTCAGAAATTATGATATTTGAAGCATATGATGACACATGGAGAATGTTTAAAATTTTTTGTCCAAGCCAAACAAAACAAAGCTGATAGTATTTGCAAATAGAAGATAAGAGTTGAAAAAGATTTGATTTTGTTGGAAAACCTTAAGTTTTCACGAAGCTTCAACAAAGGATAGAGGAAAACACATTCCATTTGAAGATATCCATAATTTTTCATTCAAGATAATTGCTTTTCCAATGCTTATGCAGTAGATCGCGAACCAAATCTCATGTATCAGTCGTTACAATAATCCCCAGTAGACAGTATATACAGACAAGATTTTCATCTCATACATCAACAAAAAAAAAATGTATATCATTAGTGAATAATAATATACGCTTGCCCAAAGCAAAAAAAAATAAAAAAGACAGATCTCCCGTCCCCAGCAAAACTTACAGAAATAATCCAAATTTTTTCAAAAAAATAAAAAAAAAAAAACATGAACAATGGGCCTAGTGCTCTTGGAAATTCTTGTACAGAACATGAACAGTAGGAGCACTGAAGACAACAAGAACAACTTCAAATACGTCCTTATCTCCTGAAGTCCAAGGTCAAGAACTTCCATTTTTTTGCCGTATCTACTGTTCCTGTCCATTAAGGTAGTCATCTATCGATACCCAATTGTCAAAACTGGAAGCCATTGCCTTTGTCTGAAGCCCATCCATCTGCATCACGCCTATGTTGAGCATCTTGAAGAATGCAGTCGACCAGACATTCAAAACTCTCTGTCGTTCAAAAAATCAACCGAGTTAAGGATTATAAAATAAGTAGTTTATCCAAAATATATCTACCTTAAATGTGGGATGATTATTATGAAAAAACTGCAGAGATCTAGCCAACTAAAAAGAAATTTTTACTGTCTTTCAGAAGAGAAAAAACAAAGCACATTTTTTTCGAAAAAGATTGGGCAAATATCAATGTAGGAAGCATGTTATGTATCTTGAGCATACATTGAAGGAGGTGATGTTACAGGATTGAACATTTTGAAACAGTCTCTAGAGTTTCCTTTAAAAAAAAAATTACACAAACTTTGAATAAAAAAGTACAAAAGAAAAAGAAAAAAATATGTGATTGACTATTCTAGTTACGGTTAGATTTTTAGCACGGGATTAGAACTCCAGCCTGAGGCAGTAGAGTTTAAGAACAATCAACTTACCTCCTTCCCGGAGTGCAAATTAACCCAAATGTATGGTTCAAATGAAATAGCCAATTTTCTCGTTATCTGAGTCTCAGGCTCGCTGAAAGGAGCAGTACCAGGTTTTCTTCGAATGGATCATAATCCTGAGACAAATAAAAAGACACCTCAGCACATATTGGGATCAAAAGAACAAAAGGTGTACATGCAATCACAAAAATCAATTAAAAAAATGTTCCTTCTGCTAGGTATTCTGGTAAATGCTACTAGCGTACAGGAGAAAATACAAGTAAGATGATTTTGGAACAAACCTTCTCTTTTTTGCCCCAATCTACACTCCAATTCCGATGAGATCAACACCCCTTCCTGCGAGAAACTCAAATTTTAAGCCTCTAGCATTTTTATGAGAGCCAATTTGTTATTTACAATAAAACACACAACTTTATAATGAGACCATTTCGCCTCTCACAAAGCTCTCCATCTTCTACAAGTTTGCGGCCAATCAAATTTTCCAGGGGAACAATCTGTCATATAGGAATACTTGAAAACATTAGTTCTCAATAGAAGTGTTCAGGCACCAAGAATGCAACAAACTAGAAAAATATATTCTGCAAAATACTATCACTAGCCATGGAAGTTTCTGAAAAAAGAAAAATTCATCTGAATAGCACAATTTGTTTTACTGCAATTACTAGGCTTGGAGATCAACACCCGTTTCCTCAATTGTCCACACTTGAAGCAAAAATAAAGTTAACCACTAAATAAAACATACCTTTATAACAAGCCTATCAAGTGTTCTATTCAAATCAGATCGGTCCACATTGGACAAAAATTCCTCTTCTCTCAGAATAGGAAGGATCCTCAATGCTAGCTCAGTTATAATAAGCTCCCTAGCATGCTGTCCAAAAGTCTGGAACACAATGAATCATCTGTCAAAAAAACCAGTATAACCAACCTGAGAACATTTAAATGTTCTATACCAAAAAAAGGGTATATGAGACCCCACACAATAACCTCGGTTAGGGATAATCATACACCCATACCCCTTTCTTCTTACTCCACTAAACCGAAGGACGAAAACAAATAAATTCAAATTATTAAAATGAAGAATTCTGATAAGGTCAGGGTATAAGTACTTAATTAGCTTAACATGTCAACTTAATTAGCTTAACATGTAATAAGCATCAGAAGGGATATAATAAATATGAATCTTCCTAGGGGCTACAGATTATGTAGTGATTACTGTTCCAAACCCCAAACAAATTCTTGTCACTGTGACTGTGACATTTCTAATATCTATAAGGGCAAGAAATTATGATGTCAAAAGAAGTGCCATTAATCTGAAAACTTAATTATTGATTCTAGTTCTATTTTTTTATATGTATTCAACTCGTGAAAGTAACACGACTGTTTTGGTGAAAAAACTACTGCTAAAAACCTATCATACGATCTCTCATGCCGAAAAGAGAGAAAATATTTGTTAAATAAGAATGCACATTGCAGACGAAGGTTGTCAAATCTCTTTGAACAACAGCAAAACACCTTAAATCCTTATAATGTTATTGCATTTGACTACAGAAACACAGAGAAGATGCATGCTTTCTACTTCCTGCCACTAACATTACCTATGGATTCATTTGAACTGGTAAATATACAGTTCAAATTTCAAATTATTCAAGATAGCAAATCACCTTCAAATTCCAAATTATACAGTTCATATACCATTTTCAGTTAAAAAAAACACCAANAAAGGACTTAATCAAGATAGCAAATCACAAGTCCAAAAACAAACACCACTCAAACAGCTAGCAAATCACCATATGAAGAGACTTCTAAAAAAGGTAAAAAAAACCCTAATTCAAACAAAAAAAATAAAACAATTTCAAACCAAATTCCGGCGAGGTCCTGAAGAGTCCGGCTAGGTCGTGAAGACGGCGTGACGGCGAGGTCGTGTTCGGTCAGAAGAGAGGGCGTGACGGCGAGGTCGCGTGACGGCAAGGTCGCGTGAGGTCAGAAGAGACGGCGTGACGGCGAGGTCGGCAAGGGACTCCGTTCGATTTTGCTCGTGAGGTGTTCGATTGTCTCGTGAAGATGCAAGAGATGAATTTTTGGTGAAGATGAAGGGCAGTGGAATGAAGAGCGGGAGCGGGGGGTGCTGAACAAAAATTTTGCAGAATTTTTGGAATGAATTTTTGAATGATTTTCGTTCCCTCAAATTGTGTAAAAGGAATTTCGAGTTAGGGGTAATGTAGTAAAATCATATGTTAAAAGGGTTAAAAAAAATATTTTTTACAAAAAGTGGTCAAAATTTGTGTTTTGTAAACTTTTTTGGCTATTTAATGGTATCAACACATTTACCGAAACCACAAGAACAAGTTTCAATATCTCTCTCTTTTTTTTTTGGCAAAATCTATCTACTATATTAATTAGACAACTCACTTCTATTTTTAGTATATTTTTCGTGGGTCCTACACAAACTTTCTATTTTTAGAAAGTTAATGGGTTGCCACGTGTTACAAGTTTATTAATCTTTTATTTGGAAGTTACGTTTTAAAATTCTATTTTTATTTTAAAAAAATGAGTTTAGTATGTATTTTGTTGTTGTGGACTAACATGATTAAATAAATATTCATACGGAAAAAAGCAATGATTTATAGTGTTCGGTTGTTCGTATGAGTAAATTCACTTTATAATTAAATATAAAATTAACCACTTATTAATCATTTTGTCATTTTTTTGTGATATTTTTGCAACTCTTCCGCAGCATATTTTGAATCAAGTTCAAAATAGATTATTTTGTAGGTTTAAATTAATTCAAAACATATTGATCCAACTATTTTCTTTTTGTTCAATAAGGCGGATTATGAATAAATTTAATAGAAATATATAAAAATACATTTTATTTCATTCAATTTTTTTATCTTATAATAGAAATATATAAAAATATATTTTATTTTATTCAATTTTTTTATTAGTGCTATGGTAGTTTGTTTGAGTTTGCCACTACATATAATCAGTTATTGGTAGTGGATGAGTAACTGTTATGTAGTGGTTCCATATTTAATTAACTAAACAGATTTATTTACATACAATTTAACTGTAATTTAACTGTATATAGTTGTGGGTGAGAATTTTATATTTACCGCCAGTTTTATAATTTTGTAAGCACGTTAGTGAAATTGCACATCAACACATAGAATTACTATAATCGTTATAAAATGTATAAAATTTTATAAAATATATAATAACACATAGAATTACTATAAGCAAGTTTTATAAAATGTATGACTGCATTATAAGAAGTTTCAATTTTAATATATAATTATTTTAGTTATATATTTTTTGTTTATACGAAAGACTTAATAATTTTTCCAACTGCATTCATCTGGATAGGTGATAAAAAATTTTAATAACTTAAATTTTTGTTTAGTAATTATTTGCTATTTTTTGTTAAATATATTAGAATGAATTATTTGTAAATATGGACTATTATTGAATCGTTTCATGGTGATCATTGTTATGAATAAAAGAAGAAATATTGAGTCGAAATGAATGTTTCTCACTCTACTAAACTATCATTTGAATTCGGAATCCTTCAAGAATACAAGTACTACAATTCGTTCTCAATTTCTTTCTTTTGTAATTATTATTTTTATTTTTTTATATAAAAGCCGTACTATGGCATGCAACATTGTGGGGTGCATTATTTATTTAAAAAAAAGCAAAAATCTGTGGAAAAAAA